CACCAAAATCCCTCTATGTGTTGAATGTTTTTTTTCTCTCTACACATAGATATATTATACTTATTTATTTTCATTCATATAGATGTGCGATTTAAAATTATTTTTATTAGTTACACGAATAAGCAATTACTGGCGAGATTAGAGACAGGAATAAAGATCTATAGATTTTATCCGATAGGCATATTCACATAAATATATAAATGTGAACGTACTCAACTTTCTCCCGCGCGTCACACCACAACAAAGCGCTGGTCCAGGTGGCGCCGGGTGTGACGTCACGCGTCCCCGGGCAAGGCCACCGGTGCTCCCCGTCCGAACCGCTCGTTAGGGGCTCGTTCGTCATGGCGCTTCGCCCCCGTCGGGTCAGGCCCTTCGGGGGACGCTCGCCGGGACGCGCCGGGGGATTCGGAGACCCTTATCGTTATCATGAAGGAGATAAGCGGAGATAGCCAGAGGTCCAACCCCGAGCGGCGGTGCAGGCCGGAGGTGTCGGGGCAAGAGGGTGCGAGCCATGACTTTCTACCGGATCTACATCAGGACTGCTGCCAACTGCACGGCCCGGCCTCTGCCATCGCCAGGCCTCCCCTGCATAACTCCCGCGCGACTTCGCGCCCTGCCGAAGAACCACATCGTGTCGACAGGCCTGAGCAGTTGTAAAATATAATAATCCGGCGGTCTCTCACCTCCTCCCGCCCTTTGCAAACCCTCACTTACGCCCTCTCGGCTGGAAAACTTGCCCCGCGGTTCCATGCCAGCACCTCCTTCACTCCATAATTTTTACGAGGCATAAACTCACTTTGGCGCGCCCTGGGGGCTTGGGGGCTCAGCCAAACACGCCACCGCGCTGTTGCCAGAGCTAACGGCCGAGAACTTTCATTGGCACGGCGCGCGCTCCAGGGGAAGGAGAGCGACCAGTCCTGGCGGCCGAATATATGCAAATGGGGACTTAGAGATGCGTATGTGTTCTCAGTGCGATCTAACACTGGAAACTTAAACACGCAGGACAGTGCTGAAAGAAACAGTTATAGTCAGTCACTGCTAGCATGCGAATACAAATAAACCAGTTAAAACGTTGGAGTATGCAGAGAGAGAGAGAGAGAAGAGAGAGAGAGAGAGAGAGAGAGAGAGAGAGAGAGAGAGAGAGAGAGAGAGAGAGAGAGAGAGAGAGAGAGAGAGAGAGAGAGAGAGAGAGAGAGAGAGAGAGAGCAGACAGCGAGCAACGATATGCATGACACAGAGTTTATCATAACGCAAACAAAGCAACACATTTACCTGGCTTTGATATCCGTGACTTCCCTCAACTGCAGTTTCATGCACAACTAGACAATGAAGCAAATTATAAAATCATAAAGCAAATTTACAACAGCATGACTTACCAAAAGACCCATTCCTTCTATATATTTCTTTGCGTCTTTCGCTCGAAGCTCCGAACATTTCGCTTCGAAACTAATCCCCGTTCAACCCCGGCCTGACCTCGCGTGGCGCCTTCTCTCTTCTCGTGACTCGTGTATTTCCCAGCGCTCCCTCGTGGTCATCCCATCAAACGGCAAAGGGAATATTTCTCTGTCACTTTCACTCGAGATTCTTCGATTATCTTCCAAAGAGGAGGAGGAAAAGGAGGATGTCACGCCGCCTCCCACGTGCGCTTCGCCTTCGTCTCTTGTTTTCGTTGTTGCGAGGGGCTGCGCGCGAGATCTTGGGGCGATTGTCTTTTTTTCTTTGTTTTTTGTCTTAGCTTTTACAATACGATCGGTATCTTCCTTTTAGCATTTTATGACGTCTGTAATCACTTAGCAACTACTTCTTATGTTTTTTAGGGCTTGGTATGGCAGGGTTTTGGCCTGGATTCGAAACCGAAGCCAAAGCTGTATTCTTGCATTTTTTTATGACTTCACTGTTCAGGTAATTGACTTACAAATATTATGCCTGACTACATGACTTTTACATTTTTAAAACCAGAATCACCTAGCGGTATGACAACAGACCATCCATCTACACATTTCGTAATTAAAATATAACAAAAATAATTTTCGAAGCGCCAAAACACTGTCGAGTCATGGCGTGTCACCAGAGCGAGAAATTGCCGCGGCTTTTATCGACTCAGAGGTGTAAAATGAATTGTAGTTTTACGTTTAATTTCTATTATTATTTCTTTTTTTTCTTCATTGCTGTTCGGGCTATTATTACTAATATTGTTCCTGTTGTCGATGTTGCTCCTGAAATTGTCATTGCAACTACTGCCATGACTACAGTACTTATTATTACTGCCATCACTGTGGTTGTTGCTTTAATCCAATAATCATTGTCATTATTTTTTGTGAATTAGTCATGACAAGATTGATAATGGCCAACACATCTGCAACGTTAGCTTGCCATGTAAGAAAACAGCGAACTGCAACTTTTGAACATGAATTCTCTCTTTCTCTCCCGCCCCCCCTCTCTCTTTCACTCCTTCCCTGTATCTCCCTCTCACTTCCCCTCCTTTCTCTCTCTCTCTCTC